GTCTCCAAAACAACAGTTTTGCACATATACACTTTACAAAACTTTGCAAATATCGTAAAATTTTGTAAATTATATTTCATGTCACTAATCAAAACACATGGAGGATATAATTACAAAGAACATAGTATTCTTTTCTCTATTTGAGAGAAGTGAGCTGCCAAAGGCTACAGTCGCTTAATTTGTTACCCGGTGGTTTTCCTCAGGTCGAGTATTGAGCACCATCATAATTGCTGGGACATTTTCCTTTCTAAAGTCACAAATAGTTTTCTGTCATGTCTAGTTTTTCCACACAGTTTCAGTTTTAGAGTTTCACTGTAGGCTATTTGCAGCAGAGATATTTTTAGGTCTATGGATGCTTCCCAAGTAGATATAGAACATGACCTCTCAGCAAAGTACCCACTAAAACATAACTAACGCCTTCTCGGTACCATAAATTAGTGTAACTGATAATTATACATGACACACAGACAGTAGATTAAAGTTGTTTTTGTTTATCTATTTATTTGGGTTATTTAGGGACTTGATGGGTGACCTTTTCCCTTTAAAACACACTGCAGCATCTCATGTGCTGGGTATATTTTAATTGTTTGTCCATCTAAATTAATATGAATAAATTTAAACTACTGTAAAAAGATTTAAAATGAGTATTACAATACATTACATAATACATTACCTTAGATTTCTCCCTTGTTTCCTGCTATACATGTAGTGTTATTTTACACTTACATGACTGCACTTGTCATGTGAGTTTTCTTTTTGACATCGCTGACACCGACGTCTGGTATAAGAAGTTTTTATCAATAATTGTCAGATATTTGATGGAGATTCTATAGTGGGAGGATCCTCTGTTAAGTTTTAGAGGAAAGATCAGCACTCATCACTCCAGATCGCTGTTAGTTAATAGCAAAAACAGAGGCGTTTAAGGTGTGCGGTCCAACATGGTGTGGCAGATTTTTGACAGGGGTCGGTGTAATGGTCGACTGGATATGCCATCAGATGCTGTCAAGAGTGGAAGGAAGGGAAAAGAGGTAGATGAGGAGAAATAGGTGGGTTGTTGGGAGGGGAGAGAAATTGATTTGTCTCCAGCTGCTAAGTCTCGTTGCATGAGCCTGTCTGACGGGGAGCATTACAGTCAATCACTGTGGATCAACTTGACTGCTGTGCCACACAATCCCCCCGTCTGCCCCCAGACAAATTATCTCATTCACAAGCAGTGCATGATGGGAGAGCCTCGAGAACATTCCATATTAAACCCCTGAATCACGCAGGTGTCTGAGGATTTGCTTTGCAAGGAAAGTGCTGCTTATAGGTTGAGGGGATCCTTATCTTAGTGGCGTCCGTATCCTCAGACTTTCAGCGACTTGCCAGGAATACATTATTGAGAGATTCGAATTTTAATAATGTCAGACATATGAATCTGCCCCTTTATAAATTTTCCAGATATTAGTTTCGGGTGGTATGGGCAGTAAATGCCCATGAGAGTGCTATATTCGTCATAATAATCCTTTTAAATCACCCCACAGACAGCGATTCTAAAAGCACGTAAGGTGTTGCAGCAGGGTTCATATCCAGTGCAGCTCCACATGTTCAAATCATTTTCTAGTTTGGGGTCGTCTGCTGTATCTCCTGCAAAATATTCTGAAAAGTTCAAGAAAATTCATGCAACTGAAATTTCCCAGCAGGCTTTAAGAAAATGACAGATTAAATGACAAACATACATTTGCTACGGTCTGCCCCCTGTTTGCCTCTCTGTTGCTGCTCTGAAACCTTCCTCTAACAGGATTTCTCATTGAAGCTCCAGCAGCTTCTGCAGCACGGTTGCAATGTGCTGAAGAGCTCACACAGCACCTTCTCACCGCAGAGGCGGAGCGCCGCATGGGTCCAAAAAATGATCCTCTTAAATGTGCCAAATGTTAGGCGTAAGCAGGAAAGTAATAAAACGAAGAAGTAGGGGAAAAAAAACAACACAAATAGGAGAAATTTAATCTCATGTGCGTGTGTCTAAGTGAAGAGGAATTAAAGGGTTAAAAAGCTAAATACATTTAGATTTTTGATAAAGCTTCTGGCTCAGTGGCCTCCTGGGTGACCGCGGTAATTAGTAAAAGCACTGGAGGTGATGCTATGGTGAAGGGCTTTAGTCAATTACTTCTCCGTCCTTCCTTCTCCTCCTCACATTCGCCTGCACTCCCTCCTACTTACTAAACCTTTAAGTGTGGAAGGAAAGCTCACACATGCATCATACACTGTGTTTTCACTAATCTATAAAAAAATCTATAAAAAGGCAAAACATGATGTCTCAGGTTATTTTGAAATGCCTATTGATGAACAGCTAACAAAGGTTTGCGTTGTGTTGATTTACATAGATTCTGAACTGCAGCTATCAAATTGTCGATGTTGTCAGACCTCAGTTTAGTCAATGCTGCATTCTCGTGTCTGCCATTTGCAGTGGCAGACATAGTATTTTTTAATCCAATAAAACTACTTTAACAAAGTATTTTAAGTAAGAATGGTTATTTCAAAATTAAGTATTTAAACAACTTGCCAATAATGTTATAACTTATAACAGAAAGCAGCTGTTTCTGTATTAACTTAACCATTGTGTTGTCCTCGGGTCAAAAATGACCCCTAGGTGTATGGCAAACAAGTGTAAGGGAATCCCGAGGACAACACAAGGGAGCTGCAGGTGCTTTAAACAAATCAAGTCAATGCTGACTCTTGTCTTCACATAGGAACCAAACCCTTGCCTCTTAGGTGAAACTCCATTGATTAACCTGTAACACTGCCTGCTTTTTGTTTGTCACAGTTGTTCATACTGTCCGGGATTCCTGATATACATAAATATTACGAAGAAGTGTAACAGGCAGTGTTACAGGTCAATTTCTTTTTAAAATGTTTATTTGAATTATGTCACGATCCTTATTTTCGTGTTTTTACAATTAATACAGTACTTTACAAATACACTTAGATATTCACCAGAGTGTTTCTGGGCTAGAGATGACAAGACTGCAGCTGTGACTGCAACGATTCTAGCAAACAGATCAAAACACTTTCTGTTCAGTCTGCTATAGTTCAGTGAGGCTGCTTCTTAATGTCCTGAAAATATCAGACAAGTTGATTAGCCAGACAAGCTCAGTGGGGAAATTCAGGAAATGCCCTACTGAGAGCTGCTGATGACTGACGGTATACTGCATATTCATATTAACCTTGAATGTCACCCCTAACAACAACCTCTATCCATTTTAAGTGGTCTCTCTTCAGGAAATTGGCTGATTACAAGGAATTTAAAGTTCTCTAATCAGTGGTTTATCAGTTTTCACATAAAGTCACTCCTTACTATTCAACACCCAAGACATGTGGGAGAAATCAATAAGGTGATGCAAAGTGTATCAACAGAAAGTCTTGATAGCCATCTCGCTGTTGATGTTGAATAATGCAAACCAACTGGGGTTTTATTTTCATATAAATTATGCAACACTTGCATGACAGTCGCTCCTCTCTTAAACACCTGAGCCTAAAGTTTACTCCACAGTAAAGTGGAGCTCACACGTGCCCAAGGGAATGGTTGAGTAATCTGACAAACACATATTTAGCTATTTAAAAGCCACTAAGAATTTTATTCTGTTTCCATGTCAAGCTAGCAATACTCATTATCCCACCAACTCAAAGGGTGTGAAGCAGCGGTCTCCAACCTTTTTTGCGCCACTGACCGGTTTATGTCCGACAATATTTTCACGGACCGGCCTTTAAGGTGTCGTGGATAAATACAACAAAATAAAACCAGTACCGGTACCAAAAAAGGAAGATTTATTCATAACAGACGGGGAAAGACCCAGAGAAACTGAGTTAATGATAAAACCGATAAAAAAAAACAATGATAAAAAACGATAAAAACCCTGAAAACCATAAACTTCACACCTGAGCCTCAACTCTCACGATTCACAGACAGGCCCGAAGGTTGGGGACCGCTGGTATAGAGGATGCTATGTTGCTAACTCTGGAAAGTTAGCTTATCACAAATATGCCACATATTGTTAGCTGTTAGCTTTAGTAGGTGCATGAAGGTACTTATCCATAGTTTATTACTAATCACTGTACTGGTGACAATGGGAAACTGGCAAAAGGTTTTCTTTCACCTATAAAGCCAGTGAAAAAAAAAACTGTTTGTGAAAAACTACTTCTCACTCCGAAGTGAAAGTCCTGGTCTACCACTGCCTCCATCTGTTAGCAAGTTTATGTTATGGTGTGACTTTGTTGTTCTAACAACTGTGAAAGCTAATGTGCGAAATCCTCAAAGTCACACAATATTGGGAGTAAATATAAATCTATTTATAAAGTGCTTTTCCAGCCTTGCTGATCAGTCACAGAGCTTTAGATTACAAGCCACATTTAACCACGCATTCATACAGCGTTTTACTCTATATAGTTTAAGCCCTTTATCTGCCTTACATCCATGGCCCTTTAGAATCATCAGTCAAGCCAATAGTTGTGTTTTTAGTCAGTGGGAGGAAACTGGACCACCTGGAGGAAACCTATGAGGGCACAGGGAAAAACATTCAAACTCCATACAAAAAGATGAGTAGAAACCAAATCAACCTAATCAATGTATAGTGCGCCACACATAAAATAGACAACACAATTTAAGACCCAGGGGTCTGGGGCAGGACCCTTATAACTGAGTATATCGATCATGGCTGTATTTGTATTTTTACTCATCTGAAGACTTCTTTCGTCAAAATGTGAATGTATAAACCTACTATGACAGTATATCTCAGCCTCGGTCAAGTTGTGTATATACAAAAAAATGAAATAAGAAAGCAAATAACTGCGCAGTGAACCGTCCTTGGCCTCTAAAGACACACATGAAGCAATCAAAAAAGACCAAAGAAAAGTACCACACACACACACACACACACAAACACATATGTGCGCACAAATGTTTATGAACTTTCTGTTGAGCGGCATTCAGGGTTGGGAAGGGTTGCGAGGACATCTGTGCTTACCTCAACAGGGGCTGTTTAGGGCGCGGAGGCGGGTCACTGTCTTGACTCTGTGGAGGCTTCTTGGTCACCTGTTTATAAATGTTCCTCGCCGTCACCCCGAGCCACAGCATGGTTGACAAAGACGAGTAGTGCAGCACGACCCCGACCTGAGATTGGGTGACGGAGGGTGCATCAAGTTACTTCTTTGACTTTGCTGAACTTTTGCTTATACATAATACTGTAAAGTGTGTCTCTGTGAAAAATGTCAGACTTCATTATATCCCTGTAACTCAAAGAAGAAAAGTGTTGAGGATGAGCTGCCACTCCTCTTGAGAAAATAACCATCAATGTCACTCCAAGGGTGTCTCCACAAACGTTTTCCTTAAAGACCTGGCTGCTTTGTGTTATCCTCCACTAAGAGACAATAGTAGAATGACGGAAAGACAGGTTCAAAAAGTGCTATTGAATCATCAAGGTTGTCTAGGATAAGAGCAGCATAGTGAGGTTATACTGGTGGATACTGAGCAGCTCCTTATCAGTTGAGTTAGAGGACATGAGGTGTGCACCGTGAATAACAAACCTGAATATAAATGTCAGTCACGTTGACAACTATCAGCGTGTGATTGTTTTTCCAAAAACGCACTGTACACATATCTCCGTTCCTCGTGTTTTAATATTCATGAATTATATTTGAATGGGGAAACTAATCTAACTTTGTTTAAAAGCTTTGCTAGCTCACAGACAGAGAGCATAGACATGACAGTTGCAAAAAAAAAAAAAAGACAGAAAGGAGAATGGATACAGAAGATTAAAATGCACTGAGCCTTTTCTCCAACCAGTCAGTGCGTTCATGATGTACTGGCAACCTGAGGTACCCAATCAAATGGCTTCTCTCCAGCACGAAAGGCCTAGGGACTCGAGCTACCAGTCCAGATGCTAATTGGAAGTGTCCTTGAGCTGGTTATAGAGAGCAGAGAGTGGGTGGTAAGTCAATCACAGCTTCAGAGTCCACACTCTTCAGAGCTTCATTAGTGCCAAGAACAGACAGAAGGAAAGTGTGTCTTTAAATATGGTTTTAATGGGGGAGGAGGGGGCTCTCATATTAACGTAGGGAGCGTGACCTGTGATTGTTACTGGCTGATTAATGTCCTGAATATTGTTTTGCGGTTGCAACTGCACGATCAATCAAATGGCAACAAAACTTTAGTGTCCACATCAGCTGAGACAAGTCAGCAATAATAAAGCAACACAGCTATAGTTGCCCATCTGGCAGTTTTTCAAAAAATCACACACAAGCTGCAGTGGACCAGTAGTGTGTGTGTGCTTAAAAAAGCCCTATGCTAACATTTGTTTTGATAATAAAGCAGAATTTCTGGTGTCTTTCAGAACCGAAGGTGGTCACAATTATAGCTGTAACCATTGGTGACCGGAGCTATTTGTGACCATGTGTATTCGTTATTGAGTCTGTGAAAGGTGCATCATTTAGACTGGTATATACTTGAGGGACCTGACTCCTAAAAAACACAGCAATATTTTGATATTTGATGTTTTACTATTCAGAGCTGGTGTGTGCTTTCACCTGATGTGCCATTGTTAGCACAGAATCTGGGTAAATACAAAATTTCAGTCAATAATCGGATCAGTGAGCAGCAGCACAATGATCACACAGTTAACAAAACAGAAGCTGGAAGCAGCCCAGGAAGCCTGATCAATGTGTCCCCATTAAAACAGTCACTGCTTCCGTCTCCTCAAAGTCCCTCTTTTATCTCGTATGGAGATGTTTGTGAGACATGAAAAAATTAACACTTCACAAAAAAAAAAAAGTGACTTGATTTTGATTTGTCGGCTACTTTCCGCCATACATGTGTGGTCAGTGGAAGAAGAGTAGCAACTTGTCAAAGCACTAGCATGTCCTTCTGCAGTATCAGTACACGGTGCATGAGTGAACCCCAGGATTCTACTAGCTCCTAAACAAAAGCATCATGTGAAATTAATAAGGAATCAGCATCGTTTTTGTATTCTCACTAATCCTATAAGTGTCTTGTTGATAAACTAAAGTAATAAATAAACATGTTTTTTCATCTCATAAACCACCATTAATGGTTAATAGAAACATTTATCACAAATGATCATAAATCATGTCTGATTTCGACTTATTTTCACACACATTGTATTTCCTGACCACAAAACTTTTGACCAGAACTGTATGTAAACTACAGAGTATTTATTTTTTTTTATAATTATAATAATTTATTAGACACTCTTTTGTATTAGATGATGGTAAAGGCAAGAAATCTGTTTTTTTCCTTCCCTTCAAGGTGACTGTTGTAAAATATATGACAGAAAATAAGGAAAAGCAGAATAATAAGGCAACAATAATATTGTAAGTCTAGAAAAGCACGTGAGCTCTTTATACCTTCTGACAGGAAATCACAATAATCAGTTTCATAGTATTTTTTTCAGTGAACCTAGACCTTGAAAACTGATTTGAAATTTGAATAAACATTATCATAGTTCTGGAGGGAAAAGAAATGTGGAAAATAACAAGCGATTAAGAATTTTCAATGAACTCTATACTACATTTTTATTTCAGTTAATATTGCCAGATGATCTGTTTTAAAACATTTGGCACAGACTAAAAGTGCGATATTAAAAACTACCTTTAAAGTGTTTTATCTTTTATCACATCTTTGTTATATTGTTTCCAAATTATTTTTGGTACATGGGTAACCAGTCTACTCCAAGCTACAGTGTTTATGTACAGGGAAACTTGGGAACAGTCAAAGTAGACCCAATGGAAAAACAAAGCAAAATCACTGCTATACTGTAATGCCTTCTCTCTCTCTCTCTCGCTTTCACAGCTTTTGCCATCACAACTAATTTCACAGTGCGGTGCTAATTAGGGAAATCCATTGTATAGCATCTTTAAGCTGACACTTGGATGTAACCTCAGATCTAGGTCATCCTTAGCCAAGTTCTTTTCTAAATTAATAGGTTATTTAACGCCGGTCACACTCAGTGAACAATCATCTGCGATGTGTAATCCAAATTTTGATGGTCTGAGGTAACATGAGGTAAGTCGACTGGAAACAGTGGTATAATGTATGTTGTTCTCCTACTTAGCCCGGGCAAGCAGAAAATGTAGTGTGACAGCTAGGGTGTTGCTCAAATCAATGATAAAGCAAGCCTTGTTTGAAGAAAAGATAGAAATTGAGATTAGAGATGACTTTGACTTTGAAGCTGTAAAGACATTGGATGCTGCATAGCGACAGTGCCACAGTGGGTGGAGTAGCGGTGCACGACTGAAGACTGGCATACAGATAGAAGAACAGGCAGACGAGTATGGGATGCAAGTGTGGAAGGAAAAGGAGGAGGTTGGGGGGGGGATGGGTGAAGACTGGGTGGGGAGTGCGTGCTTGAAGTCTTGCGAGAACTGCCAAATCTAGACTCAGAGCCCCTTGAAGTTGCTTAGTTTGGAGCGAGAGCATGTACTTATTTTTCCTCCTGGGAAGGGAAAGGGGGGTAAGTGTGTGCGTAAGGAGGTTGGCGGGGTGATCGGGGGGTACAGTGAATTTAGCAGGCAATGCGTGTATCCATGTGTGAATCTGACTGTGTATATGCATCGGGAGATCACACATCTCCTCAAGCATTCCTGTAATTATCCCAAATTGTGTCTGGTGGGGCCTGCCTCGATCCCAGTGGGATTGAAGACAATCTGGGCTCCTTCCCAAATCTGCCAAGAGTGATTTTGCTAGCAGTGATTAGGTAAAGGAGGAGCATCAAAAAGTATTCAAAGGCCCCAGGACAAAGTTGAATAAATGAATGAAAGGTAAGTACGTTAAAAACCAGCGGCAAGGTCAGCTAAATTGCACAGCTCCATGAGAAAACTCTGCACTGATATTGAGGGAAAGCAGGAGATTGTGTGTGGCTACATAAGTAGAATTCAAATAACATCCTTTTTCTAATGAGAAATAGGTTTTTGAAAATAATAACATTATTTCTTGTCCTTTCAAAACATTAAACACTGATTTACAATTCAAGGACAAACCTAAAAAAAGAGAAAAAAAGATTTAGAGGCAACAGATTATTGCAACAAACGCTTAATTTAGTACATTTTAAAATGCTTGGGTATCTAATCGAGTGAAAAACTCAAAACATGGACACACCAGCCAAAGTGCTTGTTTACAATGCCACAACTCAAAAACATATAGAACAATATGTAGCTCATACTAAGTTTAGATGATTTTTTATGCAGATGACACATTCCTCAATATGATTGAACATCATTCATTCTTCTCTCCTCTGAAACTTGTACTGAATGCTGAAAAGTCAATGTCTCCCAGCCACCTATACACTCAGTGGTACAGAAACTAAATTTCATCCAGCTTTTAAGAAAAAGAGGAGTAAATGGCACAGAAACGAAACATAACAGTTGAATTCTTATAGTGAAGTCGCTCATGTTTCTGTGAGGACCACCATGTTCTTCTGTTAAGAGATGTCTTTGTTCTTACATTGCTGCATGGACAACCCTCAACATTAGGCTATGCTACATGCTAAAAATCTAATTGTGTATTATTTGAAAATATAACTTTCAATTCATAAGCATTAGAAGAAGATAACCACATTCTCTGTTCATTAAGATCTGCAAAAGGTACATCATTACATCAGTTCTCTTCTCAAATTTTAAACCACTATGCATCTGAGCAGTGCAAATAGTTCTGAACTTGATCTAAATTGCACCTTATTCATAAAATAAATGAAAGAAGATTTGAATTTCTTATCCCTGTGGGTGTTTTTTTATGTCAAGTAATCAAAAATGATTTGATGTGCTTCACTAGACAAAAACTAGTTAAGTTACTCTTGTGTCCCTTTCACCATTTCTCTAAGAGTAAAGGGACAAATACCAGCCATTTCGTGTCAGTTACCATCGTACGGGAAGACTTGACGGCTGTGACACAAGTGGTGACTTTTTTTAAGACATGCCTGTCAGCGAGCCTTCTGCTAGACAACTCAAGAAAAGCTGGCTATATTTCAGCAGAGGTAGAGTTGTTACACTACGGAATAGGAGGCCACCTAAAGTGCTTGTGACAGCAGAAGAAGGAGTTGAGTCCCAAATGTGTGATAGCGCACGCAAAAAAATGGAGCATCGGAGGCCAACTGATCCAAACAAGTAGTGACTGAAGACAGTCTAAAGTGTGAGTGAGAAGTAGAAAAGAGGTGTACATCAATCTCTTTGTGGCTACATACAGTAAATGCCCCCCTGCTGAGGTGAACTGACAGTGGAAGATGCTCTGCTCCAGCTGCTGTTTCATGCTCACTACTGAGG